CATAAGATTTTTGTGAGACAAAGATGAATTATCACTTCAAAAGGGAGGATTTTGAAAAGGAGTTGCAAATTTAGCTCTGATAATTAAAAAAAAACAATTAAATTTTCTGAGTATTTTTATTCTGGTTAATTGTTAATGGTAATATTTTACATTGTTCATTCTCTAGAATATAAAAAAATATAAAAATTATTATTATAAGCATTTTAGTAGCTTATTTTTAGTATTCACATTTTATTATATTATATACATTTCAGTTTAGCAATTTACTAAAGAAGCTTTGAAGTATTTTATTATTTATATTTTAATATTTATATTTTCTCTAGTATTTTAGTTTTAGTATCTGCATTATATCCTATTTTAGAAATTTTCTTTTTATCTTATGAGATCTGTAATTTTTACAAAACTGTTTACTATTCTAATAACAATTATAATTATAAAAGCAAATGCATACACAGTACTCATTTTCTTGGGGCAAACAAGTGATGGTCATTAGTAGAAGTAAACAGCTTGCGGAATATTTTTAAGCAGGCTGCCCAAGCAGGATTTACGTATGACTTTTCAACAGATGCTGCCCATACCAGATGATGTAACTGTGCAGTATGGATGCAGGGATCCCTTATCCTCCTCCCCCAATCACACCCTCTGAACTTTCCAGGAGCCAGGACTGCCCTCCCGACAGACAGGGTCTCAAGGGTGTCAGCTATCATTGACACCGAGCATGTGTCTGTTCCCCACCCCTTTCTTTTGGGGAGGCAAAGTCAGGTGTGAGCACAGTTCTAAAAGGACAGCTGATAAGAAGAGGTCCTTTTTTTGTGGGAGAGATACTGTTCCATAGGGTCTGGGCATATGGTAGCTGTTGATGGTGCAGGCAAGTGATTGTGTCAATGGTGGTTCAGAGGAGTGAAAAGTGAGACACAGGACCCTTCTACAGTTTCGGAAGAGGAGACCAAGGGAGGAACCCAAAGAAAGACAGTAAGAGCTGCTCTGGTTGACATATCAAATGCTGTTTTCTGGCAACTGTATTAGTCAGAGACATGTTCTATGAAGGATTACTTCTGGACATCCCCCAAAGGATCTGAACTTCCTGCTATAAGCACCTATGAAAACTATAGAAATAGAAAAAGATTAATCACATGCCACTGCAGTTTTTATTGGCTGTTCCAGTTGAAAATTGAAGTGGCTTTCTACTCTGGCTTCTAAGATCAGCTTATATATAAAGGGTTAAATGCAGGGTAAACTTAGGGTAAACCATTCAACTCAATGAGATTTAACTTACTCAATACTAACTTCTTATTGGTTGCAGTGGGTCTATCCTAAGTATTTGGTTTTTCACACTAAGATGTCACGAGAAAGAGCTATGTCATCATGGATGAAGCATGAATTATGACCAATGGTGACAATTAATTTTTAAACAGAATTTTAAGCTATATGTGATTCCAGACATACATATATGATAAAAATAATATGAATATGCTGGAACTTGGGGAAAAGGATTTTGAGTGGATGGGTAAGTGAAGACATACCGTTTATTTTCCTTCTCTTTCTCTTTCTCTTAACTAACGTAATATTTATCTAAAATTGTATGCTTTTTCTGCTCTGATAAAGGATATCTTCTGATATAGAATTAAGGAAATAAGAATGAAAAAGATACTTAACATGGCAACTAGAATAAAATAGTTTAAAGAAATATTGTTGCATACAAATTGCAGAGATTAAAGAATTAATAAAGTAAGCAGTCTGTTAATTAGTCTCTTCTTAAACTGCACATATAGATTGCAAAGGTAGTGTTAATCATATTTAATTTCAAAATATGCTTTGCAAAAAAAGATAACTGATGCTGATGTCATGTCATGACTGAATTATTGGAAAACATCTTCTAATTCAAAGATGCCTATATTAAAATGTTATTTGTTCAAAGAAAATCATCATTACAAATGTTCACAAAATATGTACATGAAATTAATCTAAGAGGTTGTTTTAGTTTTTTTAAAAAAGCGTATCCTTAGATATGACATTTAAACCTTGGACCCTGTAGCTGTAATAACTCTCAGTTTTTGGTTTGGTGATGGATGAAAAAGTTTGAGAAACTTTTGCCTCTGGTGGCAATGAATAATCCTGGCAGGTTAGCAGAAATGTAGAAATATTATATATGCCAAATTATACTTGTAACGAGTCCCATCAGTAATAATAAAACAGACTTTAGCATCACTAAAACTGGCCAGTAAAACTACACCACTAAAACTCTACCATTTGCACTGGCAGATGTTTTCATGAGAATGTTCATCTTGTATTCTAGATTTCTTATAATTGCAAATAAAAAAGGTGACCCTTCCAGTCTAAGTGGAGCACTGTGACTGGGCTGGCAGTAAGACTGCATGTAATATCCTGTCCCACAGATTCTCCCACTTATTACAGTTCATTAACTTAGAGAGAGGAAAAGACTTATTGTTTCATGTGAACAAGCCTCTAGAGCTCATTATGCAAACAAATACAGAACCTATATTGCAGGACCTGACCCCAAAAGAGAGCACTTTTGTTCAACATAATTATGTCTATGGTCCAAATGTCAAAGGACATGCCTGATGCTTGCCTTTGGACAGAGGCATGCTATGAGAAAATATGTGTACGGACTAGATCCATTCTAGTACTGTATAGTGAATAAAAAGATATTGTATGCCTCATTTTCTTCTCAACACTATCTTCTTAATTGGCTATTCCAAATTCAAATGCTGTTCTTCAAGGAAGGGGCTGAAAACCAGAGGAAAGCACATTAAGAAGAACCCAGTAATTAATGTCCATCTAATCTCATTCCCTGTGGGCAACTGGAGTAAAATTGTTACAGATCAATTGGCAGGTGTAATGAAATCCACCCTTCAGCATAAAATAATAAACCCTTTTGGAGATTGATTTCTCTTCTTCTTGTGTATTGTTGATGCAGCAGGATCTTCCCATCTGCAGGCAACTCAAGCATTTAGGAGCTGGAGCGGACAGGCAGCTTCCCCAGAGATGACATCATATATTGTATTGGATATGAGGGGGGGAACAGGCTTTTATCAATTGGTTCTTCATCTGCACACCAAGCACATTGGCTGCAGCGTGTGAAAGAGCCTGTGCTTGGTGTAAGATTTTACATGTATGTTTAATGTTTAAATAATACTCACCGCTGACCACACACAATCTCAAAGTCTGCTTTTGATACAAATGTAGTGTATTCTCTGATAGGGCATGACAGCAGATGCAAGAGGCAGGTATAATATCCCTGAATGAACTTACAGTGTAATATGTGAATAAGATAACTCAAGGTTGTGTTTTGTTTTTTGCTAGGAGTACACATGTTGCAGCCAAATGCTGTTTACTACACAGGTATGTAATTGCCACTACTGCCCCTTTCATGAAGCCATCAACTTGGGCATTACTTTGAATGTGCGTAGACCAGTACCAGGAAGCTGGATCTTGTTAGTCTCAGATCCCGTGTTCAGCCTACAATCTGAAACAACGCACAAGCACAAACTCGACTGGCTCCATACCCGTCCCTCATTGGTTTAATGTCAGGAAGCCAGTGGGCATACATGTTTGACATTTGCGGGCAGCAACACATAAAATTTAACAATATGCTTGCTGATCGTATGCCAAGCGCAAGGGCAGAGCGTGGCAGAACAGCGCAGGCACGCACGTCTCACTTCCACCTTCTGCGAGCGCGTTCCCTCCCCAAGACATCCTACGGGTCTCTCCAAGTGTTTCAAACGTGCGAAGTCCCTCTCCGGTTGAGAGGATCGGCCACGAGTGTTTTCTAATCACGCAGCAGTTCAGAACTGGGGCTTCTGAGGCTTCATAAGGCAATAGAGCCAAAAGAGGGAGAAAACGGGATCAGGAGATTTATTTCTTGAATTATGAGGGTTTTACGCAGCGCTAACCCATGGAGACTCAACTCGGATTTCCAACCCTTGGCCATGCGGCGCTCGGGTCTCGCTTGTGCCTTCCAGAGATTAAAGTCAGTATTGTCCGTTGCCATAGCGCCCAGAGAACTTTCCTTTCCGAGTCCCCGCGCTTTGAGCCTATCCTTATGGAATTTAATTGCATCATCGCCTCCGACGCGCTCTGTTGCTACGACAACTCCGGGCACTAGGCAGAAGGTTCCACCCTCCCCTCCTCCCACCCGCAATTTCCCTTCCCAGAAATAAAACGGCCCGTGCGCTGAGCGGCAGGAGCGAGCTTGTAAGCGAAGACTCAGAAACCTTCAGCTCGAAACTCCTGAATGCAGCCTTGCTTCCGCCATTGCATCCTCCGGCAACGAGCTGTGGCGATGGTAGTGGTGCAGCCTTAATTCCCGCCTTTCTTCCTCCCGTTTTGAATCTCCCTGTAAGATTTGCAACTCACAGGTTGCAAAAGTTTGCTGTATCGTTTTCCTCGCTGCGGCTGCAGGTGCCTCGCTCCAGCACTTTCTAAGGAACCCATCGCCGGGAATGCAAAGCTGCGCCCGCTATGTTGGCCTCCGGCGTTTGGCTCCCGGCCCTTGGACAGCTGGGAATGCTGCAGGGGAAGCGCTTTTCGGCAAGCAGCAAATGCGGAGAAGCGCTTCCCCTGTTGAATTCCGTGCAGCTGTTAATGCCAGCTGCTGCTGCCAGCATTCCCTCGCCCGCGGTGTAAGATGCATTTGTTCACCCTTTTCTCGCCTTGGGCCTATCTCGTCTTCGGGCCCCGTTTTCCTCTTCAAACAACTCCAGACTCCAGTAGATGGTAGCCGTCCCCGAGCGGATAAGCCAATTTCCCCGTCTTCCCGGGAGATAGTGAAAGTAGCCCGTAGGTTTTTTGGAAGCCGTCTTCTCCCCTGTGTCCAAGCCACATTACCTCATGGTAAAGAACTCCCTGTCTGAAGAGCCGGGCTAAATATAGCGAGTGGAAGAGAGAGTTAAGACTTGGGCAAGGAGGGAAGGGAGGGCTTTAGCGTGGGGAGCGCTCCTCCTCTCCTTCCGGCGCCCCCCTGGGAAATGCTGGACTGATTCAGGATGCGCCCTTCCCTCCTCCCGTTTCTGACCTCGGTGCGTGTATCTGTGCCTCCCCCCGCAGATCCCAGGCCCGCGCTCTGAGCGCAGCATGCCCACCCCGCTGCTCGCCCTCTTGCTTCTGCGCACCCTGCTGACCCGCCTGTTGCTGCTGGCTCGCAAGCGCCTCCTGCCGCTGCTCCGGCGCCTGACGGCCCGCCTGACTTCTCAGCAGTCCCGCGAGGCCATCCTCACCTGCCTGCTCTGCCTCCTCAACCTGCGCAAGAAGGTGGACGACGACTGAGGCGAACTCCTGGGGGAAGGGGGCGGGCGGCACCCTCTCCCCAAATTTCGGAGCTCGGGGGTGGCAATACCAGCGCCCACTTGTCACAGGTCCAGTGCAGAGCCTTTGGGAAGGGAACCTCGTTCGGCGGGAGAAAAGATTATTCTCCAGCCACCCGTTTTCCCCAGCAGAAGCGACGTTTAGCTTCTCGTGGGAAAGAGGGCGCTCTTCCAGCCAAAAAGAGAAGGAGTATTTACCAACTGTACGCCTCTCAAGGGGAAGATTACATTTTTGATCTCATTTCTTAAGATCCACCCCCAAACCATTCCTCCCAACTTCCAGGCTCTCTGCATAATTTTTCTTCTCTTTGCTCAGTAAGCCAAGACCAAGCTCCCTCCCTCAATTTCTGCTCTCTCCGCCTTTGTTTTCCGGCGAAACTGATGGATGGTTAGCTTCCTCACAGAGCTACCACTGCCCAGAGACCTGGCTTGGTGGCAGCTGTGTAACTTCTACTAAAAGCCAAAGAAGGTTTGGAAGTCCTCTTTGAACATTTCAGGAGAAGCTTCACTTGTGAGAGTGCTCCCAGATGTGTCCGCCTGAGGAGAGGAAGGGCAGAACGGATCCAATGGGACATATTCTCCACCTCTGAGTTTTTTGCATGGGATGGAAGAAGCTGAAGCAACTCTTGTCACTTGTGATTTTGCCTTTGTTTTTATGACCTGCTACAAGAGGTCTTCTCTCTCCTACCAAAAGCAGTGTGAATTATCAAGACTTGTGTCCTAGCATTTTCTGGGACCCCTGTAGGGCCTGTGCTAGGGAGACAATGTCCGGTAGCACAGCAAGGAAGGTCCAGCCATTCACTATTAGCACCAAGTTATCTCTACCCAAGTGTTCCCTGGAATTTCCAAGAGACAGCTGTACTGACATTCCTCTTGCTGCTCTGAATAACCATGACTTGCACCAAAACCTCAATGAGTGTGTTTCCCTGTATCTGGCTCAGACATCTCTGGAGCCTGCTGGAGGAAGATTTGAAAGTGCTACTCCTATTGAAGAGGTGGTCGCCAGTGATGATTGTATCAACAGCAATTCGCTGTCCCGTTCCATCAAGAAGATCACTTTGTCCAACTGGCATGGAAAAGCTAGTCTAGGGGAAGAAGGGATATTCAGAGGCCCTTCTCACGCCAGTGCTGAGAAAAACTGCAACAACAACAACTGCAGAGCAGGAAAGGCACAATTCAAGGTAAGGGCTTTCATTTCCCCTTTCTATTTTTGCTCTGCGCTTTACTTCTCTCTACAATGCCCAGGTTAGACCTGGCTTTAGGATCTTTGTGCAAGCCACTGTGTGACAAGGCATCTTGAGTAGCTGGATTAAGGATGATGGAGACCTGAAGTTCAGGATTCCCCCAGTGTATCTGGAGAAAGGCAATTTTCTGGAGAACTTGTTCATATGAGGGTAAAGTTTATTACTTCCCACCGCTTGACAGAATCAAACACAAAGAAAGAATAATTAGGAATTTATTATTTTTTTTTACAGGGGTGAGACATGTGTGCTACTTAAGTCTTCCTGAGTTCTAATCTCTATTTATATTAAAGTACTTTGCCCTCTGATCGCATTTATCTGCAAGTAGCTCTGCATAGTGAGCATCACTCTTGCATGGCAGAGCTAGACATGGTTCCCTAATTTTATCATAATTATCTTTCCATAGAACTCCTCCCAAAATTAATAGTAGGGCCTTAAGATTTCTAGTTCCATTTTGTTTGATTTCTAGTTCCATTTTATTTATTCTGTTTTTTATCTCATGCATTTGTCTGCTTATTCTCTTTTTCCCTCTGTTTTGTTTTGTTGTGGAGATAATCTGTGGATGGTGTAATGAGAATACAGTACCTCTGAACATGGTGGAACAAGTCTAGGAAAGGTTACTCATACAATTAGTAAGCATCTAAATTTCCATCTTCCAGCCATGGTTTTTTGTTTTATTTTACACAAGGTTATGTCAGTGCTGGGTAGGCATTAGAAGAAAGTACCATGACAAGTGATGCTGGTAAAGGCTTAGAAGTAGCCTGTTGCATTATAATGGTACTAGGGTTTGAATATAAACAGCAGTCAGATGCTAGAATAGCCTTTTATGTTTCTAGTCCTGTGTGTTCTACAAGATTACGTTGGTTTTTATACAGAGAGAGGATTATGGGAGAAGTAGTTGGAAATCTCAGAAAAAACATACTATTAGGCAAAGCTTCTTCTCAGAAAGATGTCTAGGATCACATTAGTTTAATACTTCAGTTGTTTTTTAGCCACTTTCCTAAACGAACTAAATATTCATGGATAAAAAATAATATTGAGGCCAGCTATGTGGTGTCATGTGATGTCAGTTCTGTGAAATTATGAAACATGTTCCAGTGGGATAAGTTGAGGCCATGTCATCCAGTTTTGGTTTTTAATAACGAAGAGAAGATTTTTAAAATGTTTCTCTGCAGGCATTACCACACCATGCTATCTCATCAGCCCCTGGGAAAGTGTCGTCCAAACTGACCTTGAAATCTTGGCCAAGAAACATTCTGAAAGCCATTATGTGTTTCTCTGGCATTGATCTGTGTAAGATCCAGATTAGTTCCTCCTATGGGAAGATTGATTTGCTCCTGTTTGCATTGTTACCAGCCAGAGGAGATCCTTGCCAGTTCATACCTCAGCTGCAGCCTCCACATTCCAAAGTAATAGAAAGACCGACTCGTTTCTTGTTTTCACATGTGCTCCCGGCTGCTGCTTGTTGGATAGGATCGGATGGTGGGGGAGGGAGCTCTACCTCTGCAATCCAAGTGGAGCAGAACTGCAGGAAGGATGAGATCATCTTTGCGCTGACAGCCTTGTTTGCCTGTGGCTGATGGATTGAGGGAACTTCACGTGTAAATAAAGCACTTATGTCACCTGCAAGCTTATCTTTTTTGAACTCTGGTTGGGGAGAAGCCAAGTGGGCCCAGTTGGGGGAAACAGACAGATATTGACAGCTTTAATTGAACTTCTCCGATTACAAGAAACCATACATAACAAATTAATAGCTGTTAGATGTTTGTAAAAAATAACCTATCTTGTCAGGCAAGGTACCCAGGTTTACTCCTTGGCTGAACTGCCCATCTTTCATATGCCAAAGTGTTCCAGGTCTTTTATATTTTATGCAGACAATAATATATCCTAGGTTTTCCCTTTAGTGGACATGCCTCTGAACCTCAAACCTGGGATAGAATATTCATATTTAAATGTGATTTGAAGTGGAAGGGTTGCACCCTTCAAAAATGATTTAAAAGAAGTGCTTTGGACCTCACCCAAGCATATCACTTTTCTGTTGTTTTCAGGCATCCGAACAAGCCTGAAAAAAGAAATTCTAACACATCCGATGAATCCTATAATTAAGCATTGTATCTTTGATGTGACTCTTAAAACAGCAACATATTTTTTCAGGCTTCCATGGAAGCTTGAAAAAAGTTGTGTATGCTATAATGAATAGCAGAGAGTTATGTGCTCGCGCTTCCATATAGTCTAAGGCATTTCTTCCAAATCATTTTCAAAGGGTGCACAGTGGAATAGTTAATATTTATTTAATATTTATTTATTTCAGAGACTTATATGGTCTTGTGAGGGTTTTTTTTTCCTCTCCATTTCCTGAGATCCCAGAGCAGTTCTCCAGCATTGAAGTCCTTCAGAGAGATACTGAAACAGTGATTCATATATTTAAAGAACACCCCCTCCCTCTTTGATGCTTCTGACCATCAAAGAGGTTGGCTACCATTTTTTAAAGTGAAACTGAGCAGCAAACTCATGAAGTTCATTGGAAATCTCCAGGCTTTAGGACCAAGACTTTCAAGACAATTTCATAGGTGTCTGTAGGAACCACAATGATGTCAAAATAATTACATGTACATTATGTACCTTATGTTGTCATTGTGCAAACAATGCAATTATGTAATTTACACCAGTTGCATCATGGCGCAAAATGACACAACTGCAAAATTTCCATCATTTGTGTGATAAAATAATGACACGCATGTTGTCACTTGCACACACGCACACCCAGTTGTCCATGGGCACTTTAGTTTATCTAATCAAATCTTCATACAGAGAAAATTATTTAAGGTCCAAAGCAATTTATTTCATACTCTGTAAATGTAAGCCAAGTTTGCTTAAGTTTGTATTGCTGAAAACTCAACAGTGACAAAGCATTGTTAACAAAGCAAATATTTGTTTAGGTAGAGCTACCAGCTGTAGACTGCAAAAATCCAGATGCCCCCAGATGGCAGCAGAGAAATATAGAAAACTGTTAATTCTTTATTACCATATAGCAATCATCTGGATTTAGATAGTCCCTAATTTAAAAAAGTACAAAATGTTACATATTCAGAAAAATTAGTAATAAACAATACAAAAATGTATGCAAACATTTGAATATTAAAATGTAGTTTCACTTGAGAGCTGTTAAGCATAAGGTTTAAATATTTTTTGTTCTAATTCCTGGTTTCTGTTAAATTGAAGTTGCACTTGAGAGCTGTTAAGCACAAGGTTTATATATAATTTTCTTCTAATTCCTAGCTTCTATTTTTATCAGTGTTCTACTTTAGTCATGTAAGAGTTCATTTTCATTAAATATACTGTCACAATAGCAGTTCCCCATCTTTGTTATGAATCATACAATTACTTTTCTATTATTTGTTGCTTGCAGATTTGCAATATAATTTATTCCTTTTATGTTTTATTTCAAAGAAACCTATTTATCCCACCTCTACTAGTCTGAGGTACTTGGACATCGAAATGCTTTGTCCCATCCATTGCAACCTGTGTCCTCACTTTCCTGAACATCATATGCCCGGATCTTTAGTGTACCTGCACACATAATGTTATTTTTAAAAAGCAGCTGCCTGAAATTCCAGAACGTCAAAATATTTGCTAAATGTTATCAGACAAATATGGAATTTCACTATAAAATATTTTAAAGTTAAGTAAATCAAGCAATCATATTTTATACACACACATGCACACACACACACACATGTGTTGAGCAAGTATATGAAAAAGATTACAGGAGCAGGGTGGAAAACCTGTGGCTCTCCAGATGGTGGTGGATGATCACAGGATGTTTCAGTATTGGATATGCTGAGTGGAGCTTGTAGGAGTTCAGCAATATCAGGAAGGCGACAGGTTTCCCATGTCTAGAATACACACCTTTGGAATAAGGATTGTAGTTTATTGTTTTCCCGCAGATACACAGTATGTGGTACTTCATCTAGCATTAAGTCACCATTACCCTAATAGAGCTGCTATTCCTAGAACTAGTGCTTTTGTAGACCCCTAATGTGAGCATTAGGAAGATACCTTATACCTTTACTGCTAACAGAAGGTAGATGTTGCAGAGAACAAAATGTTCTGAGATACTGTAGTTCTAATTTTTCCTAGTTAGATTTGACCATTGGTTACTGGGTCTGATCTGCTGATTCTTCTTTTCCCATACCCATATGCTAAGTCTTTGGGTAAGAGTGAAGAATTGTGTTCAAATTCATTTGTAAATTCAGGCACCCTTGACAAATGTCTAGCATAGATAGTGTTGGATGTCATAAAGTTCTAGATTGGGATTATTTTCTGTTGTTAGCAAATACCATTGAGATTATATTGTCTTCCTCTCTGTCTTGGTAGCTAATAATGTGTACATGAGGGATACTATAGTACATTGTTTGAATGGTGAGTTTACCATTACATTACCATTTAATTCAGCTCTACCTGTGTGGATTTAAAAAAACCAGTAATTAAAAAAGTTTTTATTTTTATTGTTAATTTCTTATGAACTGCCCAGAGTCGCTCATTGAGTGAGATGGGCAGTTACTAAATTTGAAATATAAATAAATAAATAAAAATGAGTGAAAGAAAAATTTAGGCAATGTATATTTGATCTTCTCATGACCACCTGTGGATTTGCAACATAGCAACAGTTAATGGGAGGAACCCTTGTTAAAAAAACATGTCTCATTGACAGTCATGGTGATGTAATGCTCATCTTAAAGCATAATCAGGATGGGAACTTGATCAGACACAGTGAAATTGAAAAGTCTGCATTCTGCCATTGCCACTTTAGCAGCTCAGCGCCTAGCTACCTGAATGTTCTCCAACATTTTTCATAGTTGGGGCAAAGTAAATCTTCACCATGCTAATTTTTCCTGTAGGTCTTTCTCAGAAAAGAAGTGGAACCCAAGGAAGAAAAACAGGATGCAAGAAGCCCCCAGGCTGGTGATAATTTTCTAGTTGGCAGAGTTGCATCTTTTCTGGTAGGTTTCTTTTATATCCTGCTGAGTTAAAGAAAACTACTGTATATGGTGGTCTTCAGCTGGTTATTAGGAGTGGAGCTTGACTCAAAAAAGACTGGACTTAGTGCATAATGGTTTGGAATTCTTGAATGTAAGTGTGGATTTGAGCTTATATTTACCTATAGCTGCACTTCCGTGAATCTTTATATATACTACTTTTTACTCTCCCAAATAACAGGAGATTGCCTTGCAATTTGAATTTAGCTTGATGGGCATTTCAAGCATCCATAAATTCCATCAGATACCAAAATCCTTGTTTATTGACATTTATGGATGTTGACTTGCATGAGCAGAGTTATCTATAAACAAAGAGGCAACTCCTATAATATATAACTTGTGCTTGATTTCAGTGGACTCCAACCTCAGGCCATTTTCCTAATACAAGTTATAACAGTGTTAATGTAAATTATCATCAGAATGTTTTGGGTTTTAGTAGAAGAATAAGCATTGATTGACTTATGATGACTTGGTTTAAACTGATGCTTTTTGTAATGCTCCTGAGAAAGACTTCTTGCTTACTATAATGGCCAACATCTTCCTAGATAGTGTTCAGCAAGCACATGTATTGTTTGATGCAATTAACTTTTTGATATTTTCAAATCTTGTGATAAGTTCTGCTAGACCTTTGGGAAGTTAATGTTATGTTCTCATCCCCTGAAGTCTTGCCTTTCCAAAAAAGATGCTTAGATTATGGAGGGGAAAGATGACAACCCACTGATAAAATCTACAAATCATATCCATATCCTCCCAAACTGTGACTAAACCATTGTACCATATCCTTCTTAAACAGTAACTAAGGAGGCTAATATAGAAGATTTGGTGTGTGTGTGGGGAGACTTTCTGTTTTTTCAATAACTGAAGCTTTGGCACCAGAAAAGATGAAGGAAGAAAGTACAAGATTCCCATTCTAGCCTAGAAAACAATTGGGAAGTATACAACTCTCAATGTATCCATATTCTTGTGAACTTTAAGGCCTTTTCCCAAGGATTGTATTTCTCTTTGTTATCTGAATCAGGTGAGGCTGTCAAGGTGCTAAACCAAAGATGGAGGTACTATACATAGATAGTTCTTCTCAAGTCTGGCCAACTGGTGTTCAACCTAGTTTAGATAGGGGTGGATGTGTTCTGGAAATATTCCTGAATCCAGCTTATGTCTTTAAAAGCCCTAGTTACCTCAGTAGCAATGAGTTACAGTCATCAGCTGTCATCTTTCCTGAACAGAAATAATCTTGCCATAGTGATCCATGCTCTGATAGCATTCTGTTTGTATTTGTGGAGTACATTGTGTGTTGGTCTGCAGGTGGAAACAATTTGGCATCATCAACATCAGTCAGTCAGATGACCAGCCTCTTTCTCTGTGTCTTTCTTAAATTCTTTCAGAATCATTATGGCCCTGTATAGCTACCTTATCTAAAAGTAAAATAGAAGCTTGTTCAATATTAACTACAGATGTGTTCCATTTTCTGTTGTTGAATGGAAAGGTAGTACTTGAAAAGAGGAATTAATGTACAGCATATTGCATAAAAAGTGGTAAAGAGGGAAGATCTACAGATTCTCACAACAAAGAAAACACAAGTGCACAAAAACTGATCATGAAGAATGACCCTTAAAGCTGGATATGCTATGATGTATCAGGTTGGTTGCAAGATATAGATTCTCAGATTTTTATAAGTAAGCTTCTGTAAATTGCAGAAAGGCACTCTCTAAAGAGAATCACAGGGAAGATCTTCATTAGAGAAGATAAGCAGCAGGCTCTCATTTACTCTTTGTGGAACAATTTGATTGTCACAGGGGCTGCTGTGGGTTCACAAGATTTGACACACGATACTTGTCTGGTGATTTTCCCCCCATTTTATTAAGACAGAAAGCAGCATTAACTTTGGTGTTCATAGCTTTCCTTTGCAAGAGTTATTTACAACTTGGTAACTACATTCCATTCTCTGCTTGGCTGATAACCACCATGGCTCAAGATTTAAAATGCATTGTAAAATGGAATTTTTCCTTTACTAAATATTATGCAGCCTAAGTGTTCTCTATCTGTATTTAAGCATTCTACAATATTGGCTTAATATGTACACACACACACCCTGCACTATTTCTAAATAATCTTTCTACTTTTTTTTAGAAAAAAGTAAGGAGCTAAATTTACTGGCCAGCATACCTTCTTTCATGCTGGCATAAGCTTTCTCTCTGGCTGATATAACTTCATATCTTCCATTACTTCAGCCTCTGCAGTGGGTAGGAAGGAACTCACAGCACCTTCTCCTCTTTGGATTGACTTTTCTCAACAAGCAACAAACTACCTCCTTAGGTTGCCAGCCATTAGTCCTCCTTCCAATTGAACAGGTTTTCTTTTCCAGCAGACTTTTTATTTTCTTAAGTCTTCTCTTCTCTGCCAACTCAGTATCTGCCCCACCCTTCTCCTATGGGAAAAGTCCTTTGGAACACCAAGCTATCTTCCCTTTTACTTTCCAACCGCAAAACAAAAGAGTATCTGTTTGGATGCTTGCATGAATATGTGACAGACTCTCAGGAAGGTATGGACTCGTGCATGCTGTCACACTGACCAAATGAAGAGGAGAAATAAATACAATTGATCTTGAAAAGCAGGAGTGGACCACCCACATGCCATGTACCACATGTGGTTCATGGGGCTTTTAGGAATCATGGAACTGAACTTAGATAGTGCAATGCCAAGTAATAAAGGCATATTTTCCAACCAGTTTTCAGCAGGAAAAAAAACACTTTAAGATGGTATGGTACACCAAAGCAGCCTCAGTCCTGTTCATCTTCAATCATGTCTTTGCATCAAACCCTGTAGTTTTTACTGCTCTTTCCCCCTCTATTTTTTTAAATATGCCTCCTAGTATTCTATGACTTAGTATTAAATTAAGTAGTATTATGGTTTCTTGTAAAATACTTTTTAAAAACTGCTTGCTTGATAAACTGTATATATGAAGTTGCAGAAATGGTTGGATATACATAACTAGTTCACCAACTGCCTTTCTGAGATCTGAAGACAGCATTCACACTTCTTGTTTGTGAGGTGTATGTAATGATATAATCTGGAAAACCTGTTACAAAACAACACATGATCTCAAAGTATCTGCAGCCAATATAAATGACCAGGGCATTCTCTATTAAGTACACATGCATTACAGACTGCTAATTCCAAGAGGATGTGACAAACAACTTAGTCTGAAGCATAAACTGATGAAAAATGTCAGGGCACAGTTGCCGGCTCCTATCCCTCCAATCTCTCAAAGGCTGTGACAGTCTCTTTTGTGTTCCTATGCAGAGTGTCCTTCTTGATCATTTTCAGCCTCCCTCCTTCTTTCCTGCCAGACAGAAACTCATTTCTGGGGAAAATTTCATGGGAGGAAATGAATCAGGTTACTGAGCAAATCCATAAGCTTATCTCAATGCAAAACTGAACAGGACACAGCATGGGGAATGACAGCTTAGATTGGTTTTCTATAACTTGCTGCCCTCCAGATGTGTTGGGTTGCTTCTCGCACTATTTCAGTCAGTATGGTCAAAAGTCATGCTGACTGGGAAGAATGAGAGTCAGAGTCCAGCTCACCTGGAGAGCACCAAGTTTTATTCTGTTGATTTCTAAAATTATTAGTTACATGTAGCAATGGCCCTCATGGCAAAATGCACATAGAAGCATGCTAAAATATAAAATCATAGTAAAATACAGTTAAAAATAAATCCAAAGACATGACAGAACAGAGACATATTAAAATATCCATTAAAAACATCAAGATTTTAAAAGTGGGATATAACTACTTAAAATTACCTCATTGTAATGAAAATGCCTGAAAAATAAACATGTATTTATGTGGTGCTGAAAATGAAGCAGAATAGTCAGAATAGTTGGGCCCTTTTAGGGAGGGTATTTCGTAGAAGGAGATGACTAATATTAAGAAGGCTTATTTCAATGTAGTTAATCATTCAGCACATCTCAATATGCAGTGGCAGAGCACAACTTCCAGTTATCACCAGTTATCATCCCTGCCCAGTGATAGGAACATTCAACCATAGAAAGGTAGCTTAGACTATGAACTAATATAGTCAAGGACTCAGTTGCCTATGGCATTTCTTTAATGGTGGCCTTTTGCAATTTGCTTCCAGATTGCCTAAGGCTGGGAGTCACTTTTCCATTGCATAAAATTAGCCTGGCTTGCCACCCAGTGCAGCTTGTTATTCACTGGGAATTAATTTTGTTCAGTCCCTCCTATTCTGATCCAAGATATCTCTGTACTAAGGCTTTGTGAAAGAAAAGAGAATTCTGTGCCTGGCTTTAAACTCAGATATATGACATGAAAGGACTGAACAATTCATATATTCTTGGGAGAATGAAACTAAACATTACATTGTACAAGATAAAATTATCGCTCATTAATTTTGTGATGTGGCTATAACTTTGCCATTTGCTTCTCTTTACAGAATCACAATTTCTTTATAGGCAAGATATGCACTCAGATGTATTACATTCCTCAGTTATGTTCCATAGCATTTGGTGCTCTACAAATGTTTTGGATTATAGGTCCTACAATTTCCTGTCAATACCCATGCTTGCTAAGGGTGTCTAGAGTTAAAAAACCCAAAAGATTGAGAGGGCACTGAGCTGCCTATCCCTGTTCCACAGGTATCATGACTATTTCCCTCCCATCACTGATTTATACTTCCTGTACCTGGGGATCATTTTATGTCTTATTTTACAAAGGTGGTTTTAAGCGTCTTATTCTGTGTTGTATCTTTTAATTCCTATTGATCTCTCTACCATCAATGGGACTTGAGATACAATATTTGTAGTTAGCCCTCCATAGTATTTTGTTGCTGGATTTTTGGCTGAGTTTGGATGCAGGTCACTTTTATAGCTGCCAGTCCCTAGCTGTCTTGGAGCAGGGACAAAACATTGTGTCATTGCAGAGCTCAAGAACAAAGCTTGGAAGCTGTTCAGGGCTCCCATTCGATGAGTTACTTAAAATAAGTGTCTTTAGTCAGCCTTTCAGGAGCAGAGTCTAAAGCTCATTTGTAAGGCAGGCAGGCATGAAGTCATGCTTTTGTTTCAGGAGGTTTTTTTTATTAGAGCACTAGCAGTTCAGGAGAAATTGGTTTAGTTCTCTTGGAGCCTGAGGGAAAGAATGCTAGAGCAGGATAGTAGAATTAGATGAGATTTAAGATAAGGTCTTTCCACTTTTGGAAAACGTTGCTTATGTAACAACCTAGGCTTGATCCTCAATATTTGCAGTGTTTGGAATGGTTATAGAAAGGTTTTACTGCAGTCATGACGATATACGCTGAGCCAAATGGACAGTCCTTTCATTATAAACCAGATTCAGTGGAAATGCAAACACACTGATGGATTTCAATGAACCAGAGTAATTCAATGGACACTCTGATGAAGACTGCAGTGAGCTTGAAACTGGTCAGGGAGCCTCTATGGACTGCATTCTTGTGCCATTATGTAAAGGACAAATACTACAGTGGAACAGAAATTTGCTGTGAAGCAGGATATAAAGCAAATTAATAACCAAGCCAGTTTTCAGGAAGGCAGGGACGGCTTAAAAATTCTGCGTTGAAAATATAATTCCCAAAAGCTAAATAGATGTGTTTGGCATTTGTCAGCTATGAACACAAATCGTGAGATGGGGAAGCCTACATTTAATACCAAAAGATGTATACAGTGAACAGTATGTTAAACTCTCCTTAGGTTTCCACCGATGGCTATTGCCATAATTGTATTTTTTTTTCTGAGTCCTAGTCACAACAGTTCTAGTTTCAGAATTAGATTAATTCTGCTTCTGACGCAAACACACACACGTGATTTCAGGTGCAAACATATCAGAGTCATGTATGTGAGATGGGTAGCTACATAAATTTGATAAACATTAAATTTGTCAGCCACTACTTTATAATGTAATGTGTATCAATAAAGATACATTGACTGCTGAGCAATTACAGCTTTATGGCTAGTACTATTATACTATTATTTCAAGCCAACCTAAGCATCAGGATGAAGCAGTGTAGCTGTATTATCAGTCATCGTTAGCATCTGATACCATCAGGTAATATTATAAAGCCTAAAACTGGGTCTACCAGATCTGAGCAGCAAAAATTCAGCACTAGATTTGTGTGAATTCACAACTCAGCAAAGAGTTGGTTTTGTATATCTTTTTCCTACCATCTAATGGCTGCCTCATGCAAAACATAACTTACTGCCTCACTCAGCACATCCATGAACACCAACTAGCAGTCAGAAGACATGATGAAAACTCCTTACTCTCACAACACATGGACAGACTTAACCATAGTTTTAACTAGGAAACTCTCAGCATCTTAGACCAAGCTAAGTCCAAAAAAGCAAGGGAATTCCTGGAAGCCTGGTATTCAGATACCATTCAAAAGAGACAATAAAAAGGAAACAAAAAGACCTCCGCACGAGCAGTCAACACTCGGATAAGAAGGGATTAACACCAGGATTAACACCAAAGAAACAATCAAGTAGTGAACAATGCCCTAATCAAGGAACTACCAACTCAGACAAACAATCAAATAGTAAACAACAGCCTAATCTAGGAACTACCAAGAAAAAACAACACCCCCACCAACACTGACAGGGCAAGCTACTGTATATAAACAGAGAGCAAATCCCACTCTCTCTAAGATGTTACTTAGTTGGGTAACAAAATGTCTGCAAGAAAACAACCAAGCTCAGAGAACCCCATGAATTCTACAAAACATAATTTACCTAGGGATGGGAGTGAAATGTATTTCAGGCATATTCATGCAAAGATTCCGTCCCAATTCAAAAGTACCTGCAGGCCTCTATAATCTTACTACCTTGGCTAAATTTGGCAGTTAACCTGATTTATTTCTTTTTAGTTCTTGAATAACCCAAACTGCAAAAAAGCTTGCTTTCTTTTTCTAAGTATGACACTCCACAAAATTTGTGGGTATTCTGTTTCCTTCCTGGAGCAATTCTTGTCTTAACCCTTGTTTCTGGAGCCTCAGCCGCCAGAGAGGTCTTTTAAAGGGAATATTTCCTTGATTCAGTTGCTGTGAAATTGTCAAGATTTTGTCAGTTTCCCTTTCTCTTCCTAGTGGACCAGGCACCTGGAAAACACCTAGCTATTTTGTTTTTTACATTTTTTTTTCTCTTTCCCTTTTGTGTGGAATGGGGAGATGAGATTTTGGTTACTCCCATGGCAGTGAAGAAGTTCCCTTAGAGTGAGTTCTTGTTCAAATTGCCTAAAAATTAAGAATTTTCTTTAGAATTTGCAGGCCATTGTTGCATCTGACAATTGCAATAAAGAGACATTAGGAAAAGTTGCAAATTTTATGACTAGATATGCAGCCTTTGCAGCTCTCAAGGAAGATTTTTCATATAAGAGGATGATGGCTTGATAGGCAGCTTCACTTTGTTACGAATTCTTATATGTTTACAAGTAAGGAAAAGTATATAATATATACCAAAGATGTGAGGTGGCAGGGATGGCTTCCAATTTATTTCATTTCTCTTTTTGTGTGGAGTGGAAATGAGATTTTTTTGTTGTTGCTCCAGAACAGGCAGCAACTTAAGTGGGGCATTGATTGAATGACTTTGGGTTTGTTTTTTTGTTTTTCTTCTGCTGGTTAGCTGGAGGGAGCGCTGATTGACTTCTCAGCACATTCTCAGTGTGCTGAAGTCAGCAGAAATAAAGATGATTGGTAAATCTTCAAATTGTTTTGGAGGGACTGGGTAAAGGAAACAGGGCCATGTGAAGTGCCTTCAGTCACACACCGCATCAGCTGCACGTTGGGAGAAATGGAATAAACTCCAAGACTATTCAAGCATCTAGTAAAGAAGACTTAACACTAAGCTGGATATCTTTTCAGCAATACTTAGTTTTGGCTTGGGCAATTAAGGCTCAGCATTGCCATTTCATACCCAAGCCAGTGTTGGTTTTGGAACCAAAGGTCAGTTAGGTCATAGCTGCTTCTCTTCTATCTGATTCAGGCCAAATCCAAGCAGACTAACTTTCTCACTCTCTGTCTCTCCTTCCTAGACTGCAAGTTCTGTTGCTGCATCTCCCTGGAAAGAGTGTGCCAAAAATACCAAACCAGGCACAGTAGTGGAGCAGAAGCCTTGCATAGAAAGCAGCACCGGAGTGGCAGACCTTTCCAAGTGGAGCCTTCTCCTAGCCCAGTTCAACTGTGACATGGTGCAGGTAAAGAAAAAAAATTGGCAAAGGAAGAAATTGGCTTTGCTGTCACCACAAAACAGGACAATAAAGGGCTGTCTTCTGCTCTTCTTTTCAAAACTGCGGTAGAAAGGAAGGGAGAGCAGTGTTTTTGCTGCCAAAGGTCTTTCCTTTATTAGAGTGGAGGACGTGCAGATGGAAAGAAGCAAGGTTCTTTGGCTAGCAGGAGGGAAGCTGTTGCTATGGCATGAGGTCATCCTTGGCAGCCTCTCTTTAAGGCAAAGGACAGAGGACAGTAGGTCAGTCCACAGAAATGTTGATTTTTTTTCCCCATCTTTTTGAAGGAAAGGGCATGACATAGATGTCTTGCTTTTGTGCAGGGAGGGCACTAAAATGTGTTGGTGTAAGTCTGTGAACACAGAAAGAGTTGTGGGTGTGTCTTCAAATAAAACAGTGAAATATATGACTATTGTTTTTACAAGGTTTTGAAAGCCTTGAATGTGGACCCTAGCAAGGAGACTCCTGGCTTACTATCTTCATCACCCCTGGCTATGGAAGAAATTGCTCAATTACTTTCTACTGATAGTTCAGCAAGAGTCAGGTGACAGAAACACAAAGGACTTAATGGTGTCTCACCTGTTTCTGGGAAGCCGCTAATTCTTGCCTGGCTCTTGGGTGTAGGCAGTCCAAGGCAGAAGCTCAGGTTGTGCCAATTTCCTTGTCTGCCTCCTTTCCAGCTCTTGTTAATCCCAATATCTGTTGGTTTGTGAAGCACAAAGCAAAAATGTGTCTGGATACTGTGTAGATATCAAAGTGAGTCATGTAGCTATGAGTTTAATAACTGAACAGTGATAGATTTAGCAGTCCTTGGTGAAGATACGTTTAAAAGCTGCTGGAATAGTAAATAATATTTCTAACTATTTTGTTACTTGAAGCATCTAAAGAGTGTTTCCCATGCATGTCTCAATTCTTAGGACAGGTCTGTGTGTATGTGAGAAAGATGGAATGACTGGATTTCTCATAGCATACCAACAGAAACAGTAACTGGGCTTATTTATTCCAGTAAGCTATGACCATCTGTTGAATAATTCACAATGAATGGGTTCACACATCATGCAAAACCAAACTAAACAAACTGCATTATACCTATATATGTGAACCTAGTCAGTGGATAGGTGCATGCCCTCCCCAAACAAGACTACTGATGTGGTCCCGCCAGACAAAAAATATGCATGTGTTGTAAATAGGAAGTTACTTTCCTCCAAATTAGATTGTGTAATCATCTAAATTCTGGCAGCAGGTCTCTGTGATCAGGCAGTGTTTTTTTCTAGTGCTTGCAATCAGATTATTAGAGTTGGTAGGGATTATACTGGGGATCTTTTACCACAGAACAGTATTGTTTTCTAAAGGACCTTCAGTACCAAAAGGCATTGCCCAGATTACCTGCATGCTTGTCCAACACAAGGCTGTCTTATGTCTCATCCTGTAATCCAGTGTTTCTCAACCTCAGTAACTTTAAGACGTGTAGACTTCAACTCCCAGAATTCCCCACCCAGCATGCTGGGTGGGGAATTCTGGAAGTTGAAATCCACACGTCTTAAAGTTGTTGAAGTTGAGAAACACTGCTGTAAACCTTTGGTTCTCTGCAAGCCAGTTATAGTTATTTATATTGTCTTAGAAGATTTTGCTGGAAGCACTGCTGCAACATTATAGTTCTGTAACATCAGCTGGAATAAATACCATGGAGATATACTGAATAATCTTGTTTGGGCTCTTTATTGCTATACTAGAATAGATCTTATTCATAGTGTCCTGTATCTTTTCTCTTTTCCCACACATGAGCGGACTTTTGAACTTCCTGAAGGAAGTATAGCAAACTAATATACAGCTTTTCCAAGCTGCTTATTTTTCCTCCCTTTCAGGCTGAAAAATGGGTGCGAGGAAAACTCCATGACCTGAAGGATGGTTGCAGATTTCAGGAATGGGAGCAGATAGCTCAGATCTTACAAAGAGATATGAAGGATTTTGAGAATACCATCATCAAACTGAATCGGGTAAAACGTGGTCTCTGGGCTGCTTGCCCCTTTCTTTAGTCTCTTACTTTATATCTCCATGAAAAAAGAGACCTATTCTTCAGTAGCTCAGAAAAAATCCTATTCTTCAGTAGCTCAGAATGGCTTAAGCCTTCTCCTGTCTACAAGTTCTGGGTGGGGGTTACTAATTTAAAAAATTAAGCAATCTTTTTTTTCTGGAAAAGAAACAAAGAGTATATCCTTTTAGTTCTGTGTAGCATAGTAATAGACATAAGAATAAATATGGCACAATTGCATTCAAAAATAAAACTATCACATTTTGTTACAAATAAAGTTAATGCAGATGTTATTGAGATAGTGAGCTGTTGGAAATGTGCCAATCCCTGCTTAAAGGCCAACTTTTTCTCCCTCTGTGGAATTTTCCACCAAATGCCTCCCAGCTAACTTAAAAAAAAAAAAAAAAGTCCCGGAAGAAAGCAACAGCAAACTGCTACTGTATTGTTGCCAAGAAAACAACATGGATATGTCCATGAAATCACTAAGTCAAGCTCAACTTGAAGAAATTTTTAATGCTTAATTGTTTCCTTCTGACCTATTCTACTCTACAGTTAATTTAAAATCAGATGAAGTTGAACTCTATAGAAGTTTCTATTAAAGTAGGTTTTCTTCTGGACAGGAACAGTAGTGCAAAGAAACAGGCTTCCCTTCCCTTTCTCACAACTACTTTATCAGAACTTTTTCTGTGCCATTTCCGCAGGAACACGGCCAAGTTTGCCATATAGGATCTTGCCTGTTCACAAACTGAAGTCCTTCCCACTAGGTTCCTTCCTCTGCATGCCATCTTAATCTTCCAGACTCTGGAAATTTCTTCTGGTGGTATGGAGAATCCCCACAGTTGCTACTCTTTTATATTCAGTTCTCACCTGCTCAGCAGCTATAGGATTCAACTGGCTCTTAGCATACACATTGCACTAGTCTTTTAAGTCTATTAAAATACTAATATCCATACAATCTTTATTTTTTGCAAAAAACTTCCAGATTTTAATCCTCAATTTGTGAGAATTGATCACCTGCTGCATTCTGTTAACACACTTTCATAACTGACATTTGAAGACAACCTTGCAACCTTGCCAGTTGATTTCTCACAGAGCTTAACTGTAAAATCTTTTTTTTTAATTGACAATCAAAAAATAAAATTGTCACCACATATTCTAATTTGCCCAGTTTATGCTACCTCATTTTCTACATTTTTTTTCATGTGTTCAATGTATTTGCAAGACAGGATGGTTGTAGATTGAACCTTGTGAGTACATTTCTTTCCCATCTTTCCCACAGATGGGTGAGCAACTGATGATCCAGCCAAAATCCAGCACAGAGATAGAGAGACGATTACAGACACTGCAAGAACAATGGCAACTGCTGAAGCACATGGCAACAAATCAGACTAAAACAGTGGTTGGATTCAAGAACCTACAAGAGTTCAACCAGAAAGCTGAACAACTAGAAGACTGGATCAGGCAGAAGGTAATTATTGAGGACAAGTAGAACCAAGGCCAGAAAATGAGCCCCAGATATACTTTCCTATTCAGAGATGTGAATTCTGTTCTGGTGGCTGAAGTATGACCCATTAATTTTTCTTCTACATCACCATTCTCTGTGATGGAAGTGGGCATCGTTTTTAAATGGGGACCTCACTGGATGTTTCTGGTGATAAGCTCTCTGGAGCAGGCAAGATTGAAATCTTATTTTGTGGGTGGTTAGGATTGAAATAGGTGCTCAAGCCTTGCAGGGGCCTAAATATCCATTTTGCCCCTTAAGACCCTCCAAGTGGTAAAACTCTTTTGGGGGGTTCCTAAATCCTGAACCCTAAAAAAAAAAAAAAAAGACTCCCAAAATTTTAGTCCTGCTCACTCTAGGAGGGAGCTCTAGGAGTTCCATATACAGTGCTGAGGGCTGTTCACTTTCACTCTATGAGTTCATTGGTTCTCATATTTAGGGGACTTCAGGGTTGTCACATTTAAGAACTATACTCTGACTTTTTAAGTGGATAGATTTTCCTCAATAACCTAATCTGGGACTGAGAAAGCATTTATTTTTTCCCCTTTTTTATTTTCTTCCTCAATCTGGTGCCCTTCAGATGTGTTGGATTTCAGTTCCAGTAGTGAACCTGAGCTTCATTTTTAACTGTTACATTTAACTAAAGTATTTTTAAGGTTTTATGTGAAGGAAAGCTCAAAAACAGAAGGAAAAAGGACCTTATGTTAGGCAAAGTCTATCTTCAGTGCCCTTCAGTCTTTAAGGCTTTTTGTTTTTGTTTTGCTTTCAGTTCTAAGTATATTAATCATTTAACTTCAATCTCCGTGACTTATGTCTTTCACTTGCATTCCATTTCTTGACATAAATTTAAAATTTCTAGAATTTCTTTCCTAATCCTGAAAAGAAAGAAGAAAATCCTGCCCCAATATAAATATTAGCAAGCTTATTTAATTTGCATAATGATCTCAGTATTCAAGTTTCTTTGGTATGCACATTTACACATGTTGAATTCCTGTGTGCATTCTGAAGAAATATTTCCATCTTTTAAAACTTTCTGTAATAATATAGCCACTGTGTTTTCCAGAATCTCTCATATTTTGATCATCTCTTCCTCTCTAGGAAGAGAAACCTTTGCTAGCTATTTTGCTGCAAGAGAAGGCAGATAAGGTACAAATTACCCGACGGATCCTTGACTTAAAACAGGTAATATTCTTTCTGACATTTCTTATGGGTATTTGTGTTGTGAATGATATTTGAAGGATGCTTCTACATTGGTGTTATTTTCTGTGTCAGATGCATCTGCAAATAGATTATGTCTTAGAAGAGTTCTGCAGTGCAGCCTTACAATCCTGCTCTCTTTGAAACCAGATGGAAATGAAGCCATCAATTGTTGTTCAGGTTTCACCCCATTCTTCAGCTCTGACAAAGATGATGGACAAGTGTTCTGTCCAGGCATTAGTTACCATGACCCTTGATTGGTGAAGTCCCTTGCATGTTATCCTTCCCATCACTTTCTTTTCTATGGGCAGGACTTCAAGGAAACATGATTTCCATTGATAGCGTTTTTCTATAAGTGCCCCCCTCCGGTTGACTGTCCCTCATACTTGACAGCTCACCATCCAGGTGGGAACCCCCTCCATACACACACATACCAGTTTTACTTTTCTTTCTCTCCCTTGGGCTAGAAAGGGGAACTGGCCAAACTCTTGTAAATTTCTCTGTTTTTTTAAAAATAAGAAATATCCACCAGTAAACCTGTTTTTTTAAGCATTGGTACATCAATTGCACGTGACATTAATAGGAATGGGTGAACCAGTGCTTCAGAGCACTACTTATCAGAGATATAAAGGAACACATATAATGCCTATACTGCCTCACAAAGTACCAAAGGACTCAGACTATACTTGGGCATGTTCTTCTCCTTGAATTAAGCCATCCTGAAAATAGCATAGAGTCCAGTGACCATAATGGAAGTATCATGTCATCAGCATTATACAGCAACCAATAGGACACAAACGTTGCCTAGATTGAATTTAAATGTAGCAGCGAAACAGCATTGCCAGGCTAATGCTAGTGTGAGTTGGAAAACATCACTTTTGAAATGGGGCCAGAAAGCATGATTGCAGGCTGCTTCTGTACTGGGATTGGGGCAATCTGAAATCAGTAGCTTGTACAGAAGTGTTTTCAGAAGATCTAAATGGTATTGTATACCTACAGAACTAGATCCAAGTGTGGGAGCAAAATGGTAGCCTAGTTCAGTCCTCACTGCATTCTGCATGACGAACAGAAAGCTTTAAGAGCAAATATCCACTTTTTGCCACTATTTTTTCAGTTTAGCTGCCCACTTACACCATTGTATTAAGGATTACTGAGATGATATATCTGAAGTACTCTTGTCATTCAAAAGCATTGATAAATGCTGATACTTAATGTTAAGTAGATTCTGTTAGATTGGTCTGTCCCAGTTGACTAATGCACTGAGGGAGTTCCAGAGGGAGCTTGAGGTTTTCCCTGAAGATCTTGTGGGCAGTTTGGCCAAGGACTTGATTGAGGTCTGGAGTAGGGGTTTTTGGATCAAATTGTTCCTATGCATTGATCCCAGGATGCCTCTTGGTTTTCCAAGGAGCTCCAGAAGGTGAAGCGTCAGAAGAGGTACCTAGAGCACCATCGGCACAAGATAAAAGTTGAATCCAAGAGTGAGCATGAGTAAGAGCCCATATTAGGGATTACATCATGGTGATAATAGTGGCAAAACCTAGTTATTTGTCCCTTCTTATCATACATGTTATCATGTTATCATACAGTTAGCCATCCAGTGGCCCTGCTTAGGATGACCATTCATCACTCGGGAGAGACAAGCCACAGCTCTCATCTGCAGGGCCATTGTGTGGAATATTGTGCTATCTAACAGATACTCAGATCTCCTCAGAGTTGCACTCAGACTGAGCAAGTCCTTTTGCGGTGCCCAGGTCATAGTCTTGCATGTTTAGCTGGGAAGAGTTTGATTCCCAAGGAAGTGGAGAGGATTCTTTGGACTGCAAACCTTGCCACTTGTTTATTAGATCCGTGCCCTTCTTGGCTTGTAAAGGCTACTTAGGAGGTGATGTGGTTGAATCTATGTGGTAATGTCATGAGGGAAGGGGTGGTTTTTCCACCCTTGAAGGAGGTGGTGATGTGCTCCCTCCCCAATAAGCCATTGCTGGACCCAGCAGTCCTGGACAATTTTTGTTCAATCTCCAACTTTCCCTTTTTAAGAAAAGTTGTTGAGAAGGCATTTTGGGCTGTGGCTCCAGAGGGCGGTAGAGGAGGATTATCTGGATCCTTTTCAGTTGGGTTTCAGACAGGGGGATAGTACTAAGGCAACATTGATTGCACTTGCTGATGACCTCTGGTAGAGTCAGGCAGTGGGTGGCCCTGGTTCACCTTGATCTTTCAGTGGCTTTCAGTATCATTGATCGTGATACCCTTTTGGGCCACCTATGGACACTCGGGAAAACTGTGTTGTGCTGGTTTTTCTCATTTCTTGGATGGTTCCAATCGCTGTTGGCAGGAGGAAGAGTTCAAGCCTGAGGCACCACATGAGGCTCAGCACTTTCAAATCTTGTTTTTCAAATCTCCACAGGGCTACTGGGTGGGGTTACTCAGTTTCGGGTCAGGGTGATACCCAATTATACATCTTGACCACAGGCTGCTCAAGCAATGCCATCAATGTCTTGTGCTAAGGTCTGGAGGCTATGAGGGTTCAGATGGGGAGGAATAGACTCAGGCTCAATCCTAGGAAGAATGGGTGGTTGTGGAGATTTGGGCCCCTGATCCTGGAAATTTTCCATCTTTAGTTCTGGATGGAGTAGCACTTCCCCATTCAGGACTGGTGTGCAACTGGGAATTTTCCTGGATGCACAGCTCCTGTTAGAAGAGCAGGTGGTGGCCAGGAAGACCTTTGCACATACCTATCTGTTCCTAGACTAGGAGGTTCTTCAGACATTCACTGAATGTGAGTAGTAATGAGCATACCTCAATATGCACATATAACACTGCTACTCTGTGCACTGTACTGGTTGCCAGTTTACTTTCTAATGAGGCAGTGGGAGGTATGTTTTTATGAAAACTAAGTTTATGTTACTTCATTTTCTCCTCTCTGCTGCTTTTCCCCTACACTCAACTCAGGAGGAGCTGCAATTCCAGGCTGTGCATGAGGAATTGAATAGTCTGGCTCACAAGCTTGAGAAACAAGGGAAAAGTGAAGGCAGAAGTATCACGACTCGACGCAAGTACCTCAATAAAATGTAAGCCAAGGCAGCAGCTGGTTGAAAGAATGTCATGGGGCAGAGACAACATTAGGATAAGCTAGAGCGTCATCTGATTGCATTCCTCTTAAGTTTCTATGCTTGCTATCTTTTTGTTAGAATTCAATCATCAAGGCAGCTTATTCAGGAAGGAGACAGAGCCAAACTGTTTACCTGTTCTCCTTCTGTCCTCTCAGGTGGCTTCAGCTCCAGAGGACATTAAAGGAACATCATGAAACCCTGCAGCAGGCACTAGAAGCAGCTGCTTTCCTCCAGCAAGCAGATGTGCTCCTTTCAGCTATCCATGCAAAGGTACTGAGGGCTGAGATTACATTCCAGGCAACTATACCATAAAAATAGATCTGGGGAGTCTCAAATTATCTAGGAGAGTGTATTTTGTTCAGCAGGATGCATCGCGTTTCACTCAGGCCCTCAGTCATCTGCAGTGTAATCCAGAGTTCAGTTATGCTATATCCAGCAAGCTGATTGTGGCAAGATTGGATAGTAAGCCCTGTATCCAGCACCACCTTCTCTGCAGTATTTCAGAGTATACAGTTCTAGGTATACTATCCTACTTTATAAGGGGTAGCATAATAAAGAATGGTTTGTATACTTTAATATAGCCTTCCTCAACAGATGTATTGGACTTCATCTTCCAAAGCACAAGGTTAGGGAGAGTTGCTGTACAATTTCTAACTACACAGTAGAAAGATTTATAATTTATTTATTTTATAATCAAGGTTATACACCACCCATCTTACTATATAAGTGACTCTAGGCAGCTGACAAGTAAAAAAGCGATAAAAAGCAATAAAAATCTTTACAAAAATTATACAATGTTAAAAGACAGAGTGTCCTCAAGCCACCAACCACCTCCAGTGCTGCGAACCCCCATTGGATCCCCATGCTAGTTGGCAGAGCCAGGTCTTAACGCTCTTCCAGAAGGCCAGAAGAGTGGGGGCCAATCTCACCTCAGGAGGCAAGATATTCCACAGGGCAGGGATGACAGCAGAAAAGGCTCTCCTCCTAGACCCCACCAGTCGAAGTTCTTTAGCCGATGCCATTCCTGCTGGACTGGGTGGGACAGGTTGATAAAATTGATGTTATTCCCTCAGTTACATTCATAAATTGTCCTGAAGCTCAGAAATCTTGGTTTGGAGCAAAACAAAAATTCAAACTTTAAAAGTCTTAAAGATAGTAGTTTTTATAAATAACATTAATAGGTATTCTGGCATGGGTTCGTATATTCTGAGAATGGATAGTGGATACCACCAAGACCAGGACTGTATTGTTAGTTGTCTCTCTAGGCTTAAAGTCTATCCTTTCTGTTACAGTTGAGGCATCTTTATGGAGAAAGAAAACAGAATGAATCTGAGTCAAGTCCAGACCTGGATATCCGGGATATTGCCAGCCAGGTCATGGTAAGTAATGGGGGTTGCCTCTGGAATACCAAAGCAGAGGAAGAAGGTTGTTCTTAGATCATAGAGGACCCATTTAAGTCATCAGATCCAACCTGCTGCTCAGTGTAAGAATCCAAGTTAAAGCAGTCCCAACAGATTGCTGCCCAGCTTCTGCCTGAACATATCCAGTGAAGGAGAACCCACCATCTTCCTTGGTAATTGGTTCCATAGAGAATCACAGAAGTCATAGTTCTTTCACAGAATCATAGAGCTAGAAGGGACCTTGGGGGTCTTCTAGTCCAGTCCCCTGTCCAGTTCAGAATCCTCATACCATTCTGGACAAATGGTTGTCCAGTCTTTTCTTGAAAACCTCCAGTGATGGAGCACCCACAACTTCAGGAGGCGGGTTGTTCCATTGCTTAATAGCTCTCACAGTCAGGAAATTCCTCCTCAGTTCAAGTTTGGATCTCTCACTGTAAAGCTTCCACCCATTGGTTCTTGTCCTACCCTCAGGTGCTGGGGAGAATAAATCTACTCCCTCTTCCCTGTGACATCCCTTCATGTATCAGAAGACTGCTATCATGTCTTCCCTTAGCTTTCTCTTCTTTAAGCTAAACATACCGAGTTCCTTTAAACACTCCTCATAGGATTTAGCCTCCAAGCCCTTTACCATCTTTGTTGCTCCTTAGAACTGTCTCTCTGTTCTTCTGTTTCTCAGTTTTGACCTGTTTTCTTCAATCTGTACCCTTCTGGATCTGCTAAACTTCAGTCCCAATATCCATAAACATCCTGGACGATGTTACTGGAAAAGAATAGGTTAGACAGTAAATAAGAGTTGAGCAAAGTAATCTGAATTTAAATTTCTGTTGAGAATCCAGTTCTTGATATTCATCCTGCACCTCAGCTGCTGGAGTGTATCCAGAGTCAGTGGTCCATCATACTAGTGATTATACTAGTATGCTGAAGGAAGCTGGCTTTTCAGCAGAAGCCTTAATTTTTGAAGAAATCTTCGCTCTTGTTGATAGGCATTTGCATCTGAAGAGCTAATCCAAAACATTTATTTGGAGATGTTGTAGGTTAGACGTGCACAATGTGACTCATCAAGCTGCATTGAGCCCATGAAGAGCTCAATAGAGTTTTCTGTAGCCCGTAACTGCAAAAACAGAACTTGGCAAGCACTTGCCTGGCCACAAAATACATGCCAAGTCTGATGTCTTTGGTTTGGTGGGTCAAGTTGTACAGGCTCAGTCTATGACAGATGGCCAGCTGCCATTCCTCGTTATTCACTTTCTGCCTTTTCCATCACTTTAGATGCTGGATGTGACCATGTCACAGCTTATAAGCCTTCATCCCAGTCTGACAGCACAAGTGTCCCTCAAACACCAAGATATCAAGGAGAGCTGGGCCCAGTTACAGCAGCTGTTGAGGTATTTGCTGAAAATTTGATTTGTGACTCTTTTCATAGGCTAGATCCTGTTTTAGGTAAGTACTACATTTATAATGCAGCTAATTTTGGAATTGCTAGACTTATTCTTAAAAAAATATAGTTATCTACTTATGTTTCCTTTGCCTTTAGCCTATGATTTAGAGACATTAAGCAAATGAAATGTTAAGGTGCCCCTCCTCAACATTGCACTTTTATATCTCAGTCTGCTTTTGAGATACAGAAGGAAGCTTATTAGTCAAGCAATGAAACTTGCTCCTCCTTGTGGGGGAGTTGGGCGGTGATATAAATTTGACATATAAATAAATAAATAAATGAAAGTTCTTTTTTCTTTTTTTTTCTTTTACTTACCATCAGCACTTCCTATCTTTTTGGGTGTGAGTGACTGAAGAAGGCACTCAGCAAAAGTTCATATAGACCCTGGAGCTTAATGGTCTCTGCTTCAGCAGCAAGGCAAAATTAGGAATTTGGTAACTGTTTCAGTTGGTTCAGGCTTTGCCCAAAGCACTGCTTTTTTAAGGAAAAGATTTAAGTAACTAAACCAGTGTTTCTCAACCTCAACTATTTTAAGATGTGTGGACCTCAGCTCCCAGAATTCCCTGGACAGCATACTGGCCGGAGAATTCTAGGAGTTGAAGTCCACACATCTTAAAGTTGCTGAGATTAAGAAACACTGGACTAAATGCAGAGAAAGGTTGAAATAAAAGGAGTCCCGAAGGGCTTAGGGGTAAAAGGTAAAAGGAGAAGTCCTGGTGTGCATTCCATAAACTTTAAGCCAGTCTTTTCCAATCTCTCCACTGAAGAATTGACTTAAATGACCATTCTGGCTGGATACTTTCATATATCTAGAGGGCACCAGGTTGGAAAAGCTGTTTTAAGGTCTATTCATCTGGAATACTAAGATCAGAGCTCTTCTTCCTTAAGAACTAGTCCTTATGTTTGTTTGCTTGTTTTTCCTTCAGCCTCCAAATCATTTTTCCTTCCTATAAGTTTGAGGGCAAGGACTCATTTTACTGATCTTTAAACTTCCTCCAGTGGGAACCTATTTCTTTACCGAAAAGGCAGGATAAAATTATTTAAATAATGCAGTTATAATTAACAGATTATAAGATTGCTCTGAGACAGGGCTTGCCTTATTCTGTAGTGATTTTCATGCTGGTTTTTCTGCCCCTCCTTTCCCCATTCTTATTATAATCATTTTCTTTTATTTTTGTTTCATTTCTCCATTTTCCTGCTTTTCCACCTCTTAGGAGTGATAATCCTCCACAATTGGCTTTAACAAAGGAAAGTATTGATTCCTCAAGTCCTAATCAAGTACTGACTACAATTACAAAGAATCCAGGACAAGATGCTGAAGAGAAGCTAGTGCGGGAGGTAAGCAGTGTGTTTAGGGCCACGCTTGGACTTCTTCATCCATATAAAACATGAACCTAATCAGATTTGCTTTGCCCCACACCCAGTTACATCACACAAATCATCATTAATACTTTGCTAGAGAAAATTTATTAGCCATGAATCTGTGATGACACATATTTTTTGTCGATCTCAGACAACATTGATCTTCCCTTTCTTGGGCTTAGACCTGTGATTAAGGGGCCACTGGTTAAGGAGGCCCTCTCTTGCTGCAGCTTTCTGTTCATAAATTTGTGGGGCAGAGTTAGGATTATTTCTTTCTGAGAATATAGGTGAAAATATCTTTTTCTCCTTGAATGGCTTTGGGGTTACTTGAAAACAGTAGAGAAGACCATGGTCCATTTTTAAGTGATGGCCCAGAACAAGTATGCTACTTTGGGGTTTTTAGTTAAATTAAGTTCTATCACAAGAAGTGTTCAGATAATAAAGAAAGGAAGGAAACTTGAGAATGAAAAATGGAATATGTTGAATAGTAATCTTTTCCCATTCTTGCTTCTTGGGTGAGTGCAAGGTAACCATGCTGCAAAATAATTGCCATGAACTTCTGTAAAATGCCAGTAGGGTTGGGTTAAGATAGTTGCCAGAAAAGGATTCCATAATCTTAGGGCCAAAGACTATCCTATTTAGTGCTGCTGT